CCCGCCGTACCGCCGCGACGCCAGCTCCGCCCCCCAGGATGGGTTAAAGTTTCTGATGTATTTTATATATTTAAAATATTTATATACCACTTTCTATTTTTAAAAAAAATCTTCAAGCAGAGGTAAAATAGCACTGGGCACAAAATGATGGTATGAGTCTCACGTGACTACATTGTTGTGAGATTGGTAGGGCATGGACCATCCTAGTGCTGAGGCAAAACATTCATCTGGAAAGGCTCTTTGAATATATAGTCCCTCACTCACTCTATTCCTTCAAAGAGAGAACTGTATTCTAGAGAAATGGTCACATGGCATCCCTAAGTGTAGTCCATGTAACTGGCAATAATTTGAACTTTGATCTCCTGCAAATCACCCCTAAGTTCTACTATTTATTTGCGTTCAACATATGAAGGAAGCAGAGCCATACCATGTCAGGTAATTATTCTTCTTGTGTGAGAAAATCTGAGGCCAGCTGTATCTGCGTGGTTATTTTTTTTCAAATTAAGAATGAAGATTGCATCTTCTTCGTTAAGCAATTTCTGCCCAGGGAAATGCATAGGTTTATTTTACATGTCTGTCTCCAACACTTTTTGCTCTTGGGCATCCAACGAGGATGTGCTGAACCAATGAAAACTGCACCAACAGAGCCAGTCTGCAATCTTTGTTGCAGACTGAAATTCTGTTTAACAGGGAATTAATTTTCCATAATGAAATGCTGGAAAGTACATCATGTTTCAATTAGCATGCAGTACAAACTCTGCCACTGTTTTTTCTCTCATGTATATGGCAGAAAAGTGCCACAAAGGTTCACTTGGCTTCTTGAGGGTACATTTTTATGTTTACTCATGATTTAAATACAATTAAGAAAGGAGGTCAGGAGTCATGGGGAAGGGAAACTGCAGGAAAAAAACAGCAGTTGCATCTCGGAGCTCGGAATAAGGCTAAGCCCTAGGACTATGTAAAGCGTTTGAAACAGTGCTTTGTAAAACATGTACTTAGTGTGAGAGAAGCATTCCTCTTCAAAGCGCTAAAATAACCATGTCCTTTAGAAAGTTCATACTGCTGTTTCAAAGGTTGTCTCCTGTCAGGCCTAGCCCAAGGAACTCCAAGAGACAATGC